TTGAAATCAGAACTGTTCAAAGACATTTTTAAATAGTTTAATTTTAGTTGAAGTTGAATTTCAATAAGACGTGTGTGACTGAAAACTTGCCTTTAAGTTCTTTTGTAATATTATTTAAGAAAACCAATAATCTGGTGTAACCGCCTAACAAGTCAACCATATCCCAATTTGTAAAAAAAACTGTCAGGCAATGTGCATAAAGCCCATCTTGCGGTTATGATTTCGTGAGCAATTACCAATTATCATCATGTTCAATTTGCTACCTGTGGTAACTGGCCTAATTACATATATTTCCTTTTCAAATTATATGTCTCCACCAACGGTATAATTACGAGGTTTTGCCATTTGTGTGCTAAAGGTTGAAAGTGTATGTCATTATACACAATTGGCTGTTATTAGAGAGAAATTCAATTATTACCTCTTCTAATAGTTGGGACAGTATTTGGAACGTGGATAATTAATTATCAAAGCTGCTGAATAGGCCCTATTACTCTAACTTGTCCTATTAAAAGATGTTTAGACTCACACGGTTATTTCATTAATTAACTGGTTACAATTCAGAAAACATAAGTATAACCGCAAATAACTTACAACAAATATGTAATATCACATTTCACTGTTCTTGTGAATGCAGAACATACAAAATTGATTCTTAAATGCGGTATTAATACATTTAACCAAAAGTATGAAACGTATCAAGTAGATTTGAGCAAAATTCCTCTAAAATTGCAATGTAAACTGTGGATCAACACTGCCTTTAAAATGAATGACAATCGACAATCAATCTTATTCATTCATTTAAGGAAATTAAGCTGTTTAACCATAACTAATAGAGCTTGCTGGGCAGGAGGAGCTGAGTCATGCGGGTTGCTTTTTTCTAGTTCAGAAATTTTATGTTGAAGTTAACCTATGATTTAATGATAAAAAAATCTTACATGGTGATTTAGATGTAAACGAGCATCTTTTCATAATCAACTCTGGTGTTGCAAAGCTGTTTTTTTGAGAAATGGTACTATTAATGAAGTCTGATTGGTTAAGGTCAGGTATTCATTAAGGGGATATCTCGTCTGGCCTCTTAATTATTGGTTAAATTTAAAAATAATAAACAGCTGATTTAAGAGTTACAGTGTTATTGCGGTTAGATTTTAAATGGTAGTTTTAAAAACTTGAAATACATAACAGTAACATTTTTTTAATAATAAAAACGCATCAGGATTATATTTCCAGGTATCTAAATAAAAGCCATTTTTTTACGTAATAGACACATCAAATTAGTGTTACTTATAAAAAGCAAATTCGGTCTTTTGAAGAAGTGAGACATAAAATAAAACGAAATGGGTCACAAACTGGCACTTGATGGAAATCAGCAATATTAAATGTACAAGCAGGAACTAAGATTTTTTATTAGACACATCTTCGATACAGTGATGCCAGATCGGAAAAATTTAAATCTCCAGATTGTAACCTAAAAATACCTAGTTCTCCTTAGATTTTGAAACAAAAGTTGTCACGAAAAATGTTTACTAAAAAATCATAAGTGACACAAAAAAGGTTATTGAAAACGCTATATTACACTGTAATTGTTAAAACAAATATAAAAATCGAACTCATTATTTCGCTTCAATTTTTAATTAATATAATTAATGTTATTTTAATTAAAACTTTAAAGCCAGTTTTTACTTACATAAATTTTAAGATTTCATTGAGTTTACATGATCGTCCAACACGACGTGCAACATTTTTAATTATAATTATTTTGGTTTGAACATTTTTAGCATATAGAGTTCAAAGCATCATTGCTTAATTTATCACGTTTTCTGTTTCAACATCAGTGGCAATCGAAAAACCCTTTCGGTTTCTGCGTTGCTATTCGGTAGAGACATTCACAAATTAGCCAATTTTGCAACATTTAAAATCTTATATTCCAAATAAGTTAGTTCTTATAAGTCAAAAAAATATTTGCATGTGCCCGAGTTAAACCAAAATTATTTTGTTTTTTTAACAGTTTGTTTTTAAATCTTCACTACAATAAATTGGAATTTTTTTCCATTCGATGTCAATCTTAAAACCGTCAAAATTATCTAGGGTAATAAATTTATTCCAGATACTTTGTATCTGAAGTGAGCTGAAATTATCTGGTTTGTTGGATAATCCCAATTCTCAATTTGAAAAACTTAATCCTCCAAAAACCGCATCAATGAGAAGAAATATTTCTTGTATTTCTGTTGCAGCAGTTGTGAAAGGTTCGAAACAAGAGTTTCGATTTGAATTCTGAACTTCTTCCGATAAACTAACAAGAGATGAATCACATTCTTGTGGTGCCTTTTAAACCTTTACAATTAATGTTATAATCAGTTATATGATCAGATTCGATCTGATCAATTATATTTTTGAAGATTAATCGCCATTAGAAATACAATTCTTGGACTAACAGTGTTTATGACTGAAATAGCACATTAAGTAAAATTTCATGAAACAGTTGAGAAATAAAATAATTGATGCTGCTTTAACTATTCGCAAACAGAATTTGCCAATTTGGAATTTTCTTCCAATTGTACAAGTCGAAAACATTGTACACGTACAACATTATCTAGCACAGCCTGCTGCATTCTCAGTCACCTTGTAGAACATAATACGAGCATTTTTGGGTCTGGTTACAAAAAACACTTGCATCTCTTTAAGCTCCGCCCTACGTTAATTTGTTATTCTATCGACTTGGAAGCTCAGGTCTCCGTGATTAAGCCAAAATCAAAGAAAGGCAAGTTCAATGGGAAATTGGTGCTAACTGGCAAGGTTTGCGAGTTTTCGCAATTATTTCAAAAACTATTGGTAACGTCAACATATCAATTAAATTGAGTCTGGCAGCATCAGGGGCAGGAGCAAGAGCAGCAGCAGAAGCAGCGTTATTGGTATTATTACTAAAGAGACACATCATTCAAAAATGCTGACTACACTAATCGCTACATAAATCTAAAAGGGGAATCGGACCAAATAAACCAATTTAAACAAAACGAACTCCCGGAACCGCCCAACAGGGATCCGTGTTCTAACTCCGACGACGACTTCCAGCCGTTACTGTTCTAAAAATAATGC